CAGCTGCCTCACCTCCTTGTTCCATCACTACCAATAAGGTGAACTATGTTTTTCCGACATCTTTCTAGGCATTGTTCCTCTACTGCTGGCTTCATGCTGTATAAGCTTCTGTAATTTCAAATTATAAGATATCGATAGCTATTTATGATTATAATTATACAATAACTCAATTTTATAGGTAAAAGTTCCTCGTTTTCAAACATAACTTTTAGCATGCATATTTTCCTGTTTCTTCATTATTTGTAATACGATAATGATTTGTTGTATTGCCAGGGTTTCAGTCTAGTGCTTGTGCAGCATAAGGAAAAGGACTTTCTTGTTGCATTTGGGGGGTCCAAAAAAGAAGCGTCAAATCAGGTTTGACAAAAGAATCAAGAGTTAGTTTATATGTCAGTCTTGCTTCTTTAAACTTCACTTTTTCTTCTCGAATGTAACAGGTGGAAGTGCTGATAATTGAAAAAAATGAATCAGCAGTGGGAAGACGATCAACTCTTACAAAAGCTCCAGGATCTTCACTGTTTGAAAAACATTCATCGTCTGCTGGATTGGCATCTCAATTTAATAATGATTCTTGCCAGCGGCGTTTAGTTGAATCTGCTGCTAGACAAAATCTGGGATCTTCAATTGAGCATGGGTCTGGAAGGAAATCTCTGTCACAGTCCCTTGTTGATCACACTTCTCTCTCTAATGACGTCTCTCTTCGGAAGCAATTTGATAACAATGAAGAATACAGCCCAGATGTTAGGGTAGACAAGAATTCAGAATATGACAGTTCTTTCCCTCAGGTTAAAATAAGAAGCTTCTTGAAATCCTATTTTATACATAACACTTCTTGGTCTCCTCGAAGACTTTGATGCTATTTTGCTGTACTTTAAATAAATGATGGACACATCTTCAGCTAATACACATCTACTTGCACGCACCATGTGATTAAGTTCTTATTTAACTTGTTTTTCTCATATTTTAGTTGTTTTATGCGCCATCCTATGACCTTCACAAGTAATATGTTCCTGTTTTTCTTCCTAGATTTCATTGCTAGTTTCTTGCAGATGGAATCTCTTGACCTTTGGCTTAATTGAAGGAGTGAGCTAATGATTGTTTAATTAATTTTAAGACCCCTTCTCCCACTTTGTAAAATTAAGGTGAAATACAAATTTATATATACTTATCAACAGTCAGAAGTTAATCATATATTGAAAATTTTAGAATATTTCAGCCATCAATACACGTCGGTGGTCATTATCCTTATGTGTGTTTGGTGGTGATAAGTTGCCTATGTTGCCTAAGTAAGGTGTGAAACATGGTATGTTCTACTACGGGTTTCCCCTAGCTCTTGCTTCATTGCATGTCAATCAAAAGTGTTGATTATTTTTTACATGTATTCAACCCATATAATTTGAAGTTCAAATGTTTCAACTTTCATCAAATAGTTATTGCTATTTTGATATCTGATCCTATTGCTAAATATGTGTTTCAGGCAACAGAGCATAGAATTAATCAAAATGATCCTGGATATCAGATGAACACAAATAGAGCCAAGAGCAGCATGGAGGAACCACAGGTGTCAGGACACGGAAATTCAAATCAACTAAACCAGGCATTTGGAGATCTCACGCTGGAAAGTGATGAGGTGCCATTCTCAGAAAACAGTAAACCAGGATCACTGTCCAACCCATCAAGTATTTATCACTACTATGAAACAAAGGTGGCCGCCCTATTGAGGAAAAATGGGATTCTGGAAGGACAATTGACTGCTGCAATTGCAAGCAAAGAAACTGCTGAGAAAAGTTTAGCATCGGCTCTTAAAAGCAGGCAGGAGATGGAGAAGAAACTGGTTGACACGTTGAAGGAGATGGATATGATTAGAGAGAAGCTGGCTGGTGTAGAATTAGCCCAAGAAGAGGCTAACAGCCTATCGAACATTGTCCACTCGGACAACGTTAGGCTGGAGCATGATGTTGCTTTTCTCAAGGCTGTCTTAGATGACACACAGAAGGTATAAACCATGATATTTAGTGAAATCAATTGCGTACTTGGTCATTATTGGCTTACTGGAAATTCTGTGCAGGAGCTGCACTCAACGAGAGGTGTTCTTGCTGGGGAAAGGGGTAGGGCATTCCAATTACAGGTACCTTTTTGGGTTCATTACTAGAGTAAGGTTTGCTTTGAGGTAACTTTGGATGGGGGACAATAGAGGGGGGGAGAGAGGGGGGAAAAAGTTCTATGAACTCTCTTTTCTTTGGAAGTTATTAACAAGGGAGTATAAGGAAGGATTTTCAATTGGCCTTCGAAAATGCCCGGTTGCAAGTTCCTCCAATTTAAAAGCTTTTCGAAAAGAAAGTGTTACCAACCAAAGAAGTGAAGTTTTCACCCCCAAAAAAAAAAAAAAAAGTGAAGTAATCTTGTCTATCTGAAATGCTGGGGTAGTAGCCTTGGAGTTTCAGTGCCATTCAATTCAATTCTTAAGATGTTTCCTGTCATTAAGTTCAAATACCTCCAAATTTCTAGATTTAGGATTATAGATGTTTGTGACAAAAATATTTCATTGGCTTCATATTCCCAAACTAGAAAGTCTGAAACTTGTCTTGTGGGGTTGTCAGGTTGAAGTATTTCATCTGAAGCAGAGACTGCAATCAATAGAGAATCGAACACCGACTCCCAGGAAACCATTCCATGTGTAGTGAAAGTACATACATGAATTAGTGCATGGTAATTTGTAGTTGTAATTACATATTGAGACAGTTCTATTTTGGAATTCTATCATTTGCATTACTTCGGTGGCGTGAGATTGAGAGGAAAAAGCTGGAATCACCAATTTTAAGAAGATCAAACACTAGCGAAATGGTTTGACTTGGCTTTGTTGAGTAATTCAGACAGTTGATTTTTATTGTTATTATTTTAGTTTTGATATTGTTATTTTAAAGTGAGGTATGAAACGAATATCATTTTTTAATGGGCCCATCAACTATCAATTAATTAACTACTATACTTTTGAAAACTTGTGATACCTGGTTCGTTTAAAAAAAAGCTAGGTGTGACATTATGATATTCAAATATATTTAATTAATGAGAATTAAATAATACTTTGATTAGAAGTTGGGTATATTGAATTAGATGAGGGATATTATTATTAAATGGGATTTTAATTAGAGGTTCAAATGAAGAAACTAATAATTAATTTTGAATTTAAATAATATGTTAATTGAGATTTGAATATATTGAATTAAATAAGGTATGATAATTAAATAGTATGTCAATTAGAGACTTAAATGAAAAAAAAAAATTTTATATGTTCATCCTAAATTTTGCATGTCTAATTCGATTCCCGTTTAAACAAATAAAAAAATTATACTTTTATAAGAAGTAAACATTGATTAGAATTTAAAATCTAATTAAATATTCTATTTTGTGTGGTGCAGGGAAGAAAATTTCTAGTTGCATTCGAAAAAGTGTGAAATATATGGGCCTGTAACTCTATGAGCATGTTCCGGTTTTTTTTTTGGGGGGGGGGGGGGGGACTCTATGAGCATGGAAAGCATTACATGTACAGAAGAAACTGTGGCATTGGTCAGGGCATGCTCAATTTTCTGCTCTTGCAATCAATTTGACCAATATCACAGAACTTCAAGTCTTTAAGTAATAATATTATATTCTGGTTTGAAAAATTATTATCATACTCCTCCGGTCCTTAATATAGGATCCAATTGTTGAGTTGGTTTTGGTCCTAAATATAAGACCCATGTCACAATTTATCAATTTTCTCTAAATTACCCCTATAGATACTCCATCAACCATAATCAAGTAGAAGATAGAGAGGGGTATTAAGAAAGATGATTATGGTATTTTAGGAAAAACATGTCACAATTTTTATAATTAACTAACTTACCTAACTTCCTTAATCTAATCAAATTAGTTAAATGGGTCCTATATTAAGGACCGGAGGAGTATTTAGTTTACACGTCTGATTGATTCAGTCAGTCCCAAACTAAAAAGTTAGTTAACTATCTAAAATAATATTTGCAATATATTTGTTTTTAAAAAAAATTAATACTTTACTGGTATTAAATAGGATTTATTTGGAGCTAAAAGTGAACATGTTCATAAATTTATGCGTCGCTTGTCACATTTGTGATAATTCATTTAACTTAATTGCCTTAACAGCTAAATGAAATGGAAGAAGTATGAATATGATCATATATCCATACTTCTTTGACAACTCCTCGTGTCCTTAATATAAAAATTAATTAATTAATTTGAGTAAATTAAGAATATTAGTTAAATTGATTATATATTTTTTTTCAAAACACCTCAATCATCTTTTTTAATTCTACCTCTTCCTCTACTATTTGATTATCATTGAAAGAATATCAATAGAATTAGTTTTGAAAAAAAAATAATAATAAGCATATGAAATAAGCCTTACATATAAGACCAACATGAACTCTCAAATTAAATCTCACATCAGATTATCATTTACAACTCATCATTTAGTTGGGCATAATCTCATTCCCAGGCCACTCACGAAGTAATCAAGCAATGCTGCAATTAAGTACTCTGTTTTTACATAATGATGAGTACATTCAGAAAACAATCTGTAATTTTTCACAAAGAAACTTAAGCAGACATCTAAAGCTCTTTCAAGCAGTTGATGGCTATACTTCCAAATGAAGAAAACAAAGTAACAAAGGATTCCAAGTAAAAGTTCTAAAAGTTCAATATAGAGAATGAATGAAATCAGATTTAAGTCTTTCTTGAAGACTGCATTGTCTCTTGATACAACTTCAATAATCCAGGAGCTTCATTCTCAAAACGAGTAACATATTTCTCAAGGAACATCTTTTCCTTGATATGATAAGGATATACGATACAGGCATTCTTAATTAAACCTCTTGAATGAATACGTCGCAAGATATAAGCCCTTGGAATGATTCTTCCCTTCAAATGCATTGAAAAAAGTATGGGATAACGGGCAAGCAGACTAGAGTCGCAACCCATGTCATTCACAAAAACTCCATCACTGCCTTAATCTTAGATACAGACTTAAACATAAAATGAGGATGGAGTACAAATGCTTTATCAAACTCTTCTTGAGACCAACCCCAGTTCTTATAGAATCCAACCTTGCTATTCCAAGTGCTTTTGCTTAACTTACATTTGGCATACAATCCAGGAATGAAATTTGCTTTCGAAGGGTCAAAACCTCTATCCTTTAATCCCTCAACTTCCACTCTAATTCTACCTGAACTCATAGCAAGCAGGCTAGGCCACGAATGAAGATATGCAGCAATGCGAGATTTGGGCACTCCAATGTCAAGCAAGAGTTGAATGTTAGTTTCCAGGGAATCACAATAAATTACTCTATGACTCCGCATGATTGAGGCGATACACCTTTTATCAGACCCAACAAAGCCCTTAACAAAATTATAACTAGGAATTAAATGATTTTTTAAGCTTCTCAATAAGAACCGGGGGCTTCTGATCACAATGTTGACAAGTTCAGGGACAGACGCACCTTTGGACATTAAGAACTCAAGCTTAGGCCAAATGGTCTTCATAGGATCACTCAGAAGTAATTTCGGCGCTTTCTTGATGACAATGTGAATCTGTGACTCGCGTAAACCACATGTTTTAAAAAGAGAGAGAACGCAGTCCGCTTTTTCTGATGACTTGAGAGAGATGCGCTGGGAAATCACCGATGCAGTTTTTCGGGAGAATCTACATTTGCTAATGAGGTAGTTCATTGTGAAAGACGTTTGCTGTGAAGTGGGTGTAGATGCGGCTGTGCTGTACATAGGAGGGAAAGTTGACGATGAATGATGTTGAAAAAGATTATAGAGTGAGCGAATTGATAGGGTTCTTGTAAAATGCTTCGAGTAGAACATGGTTTTGCAGTCGAATTCACAAGAAGGTGAAATTTGATCTGGCAACAGGTTCAGAAATTAGTACGATCTTCGTTTGCTTTCAAATTGCAAACAGCAAAACCCTCTTTCCTTTTCGAATGCAAAAACTCCAAAGATTAAAAAGCAAAACTTGATAATCAAAACATGAAAAATTAATTCAATCAAATTTTGGTCCCCTTCTAGAATGGAAAATATCAGCAATGAGACGAAAAGAGGAAAACAGTTTCGCTTTATACCCACATGAAAAGATTGATGGCCAGAAACCAGGAAGGCACATTATAGCAGAAAACTTAGAAAAAGGAGAAGAAAAATCAAAGCAGGCGTGAATGGGTATAATCAAAGAGACAGGAAGAGAGCACAAAATGAGAAATTGAAATCTTTACAGCACAGGCAGCAGCGAGATAGGAGAAGAAACTCAAAAGCTGCGTCTCATGTCCATGTGCGACCGCTGAGGACTGAGTTTGCGAGAAGAGATGGGGACTGGGGGATTGAATTTATAATTAAAAAAAATTATGCTTTTATAATAAATAAGCTTATTTATTACTGACGCACATACAAGTTTTTTAATTAGAAATTTAGTTTTTTTAGTAAAAAAAATACTTAGGTCAAGTTATTTATACCAATTATATCAAGTTGTTTAATCACACATATCCATATTTTTTTTTATATGAATTTATAATTGAATGTTGATATTTCAAAAATGGAACACATGCCCATGTTTGATCCCAGAATTTGACAAATTGACAAAAATGGAACAACTATCCTATGGGTGTGTTTGGATGAAACCAAACCGTGGTTTGAAAAAGTGATTCTGGAGAATAGATTCTGAGAAAAATAGATTCTGGAAAGAATAAATTTTATGAAAAAGTGATTTTGAGAAGTGAGAGTGTTTGGATAGTTGTTATCAGAAGCACTTTTTATATATACAAATTACTAAAAAAAAGACATAAGTTAATATGATAATTACAGAGAAAATAGATTTTATGATATATTTTAATTTGAAGGAATAAAATTGTTAATATATATTTTTTATTAACATAATTATAATACATAAGATAATATAATTAATAAATAATTAATATGTATATATATTTATAAATATAAGATTAATATGTTTATAAAAAAATATGTTTATAAAAAAAATAACAAGATACATATCCTATAGGCTCTCACACTCTCCTTTTTTTTTCCAAAAGTAAAAAAATTTTACTTTTTCCAAAACCATGGTTTTGGAGCCAAAACCATGGTTTTGGCCCAAAACCATGGTTTGGGCAAAATGGGGTGGTGTTTGGTGACTTATCACCCAAACCATGGTTTGGGTCCCCAAACCATGGTTTGGGGTGTCACCCAAACGGTGCCATAAACAACTTGATCTGAGTACAGTTCTTTCAGTAACACTTATCAGTATCATAAACTAATTTCTCATGCATCCAATGTCTTAAATTACTTTTTCACATCCTAAGTTTAATGTGGTCATAAACTCAAATTACACTAAATTATTTTAAGATATTAGGTATTGGTGAGAAAAAAATTTTAGGTATTAAATATATTAAAAATTACTTTAAAATACCAGGTGTTATTGGAAAAACATTTTAGTGTGCTGGGTCCCTCTTAAGCTTTAAAAATTTAATAATAAAAATATAAGTAATATATCATAGTTACATAGTATTTGTTAAAAAGGATATACATAATATATGGTACTAATTATTAGTGTTACTATAGCATATAGAAGTAAAACGAGTTCACCGTTACTTGAGGCTAAGACAAACTTAATGTGAATTTTTAGTCAGTTCATTTGTTTTCTCATTTTTCGAATTTCTTGTGATTTTATAAAAATTCCAACTCTACTCAAGAGGATTAATTGACTCAAATATGAAGTTCATTTTATAGTATAATTTACATTATAAAATAAGTGTTATATTTAAAATCTGAGAAATAATATATAATTGCTGGCCAATTTTTCCAAAGTCCCCCTTCACTATCCCTTTCTTCCACCGCGTCTCATTGTGCAGGTGAAAAACGACCTCGTTTTTTGGAGAAAGTACAAGAGAAAAGCAAAACTCGCGAGGGCAATGGTATTGACGATAATGATATGAACCATGAGGAGCAAAATGGAAAAATGGCCTCATCTACAGATTACAATGCATTTTTGGCCTGAAAAGAACCCTATTCTCGTCTTTGGCTGTTTTCCGAACCCCTGTCCAAAAACAGCTTATAAAAAAATTTCTTAATATTTTTAATCTAGCAAAAAGGGTTAATTTCAAATAATGAATCAAAAACAAAACTTATTTAAAATATAGAAACTGTTCGTTAACTTAGATCAAATATTTATTTAATTATAAAAATAAAAACCAATGATTTAAAATTATAAGAACCAAAACTAAAAATTCAATCAAATTAGTTATTAACCTCAAAAATTAAAACTTGATATTTTTTACATCCCGTTAACATAACTTAAAAAATCTTTTTAGTATTTATTTATATTCTTTTTAAGAAACTAAAACATGGTAAAAATAAGTAATTACTAATTAACCTAATATATTTTAAATAATTTATATTTAAAATAAAAATATTAATGCATAAAATTTGGAGAGAAAAAAACAGGGGCTACATAAATATTGGAAGATGGGATTTTTTTTCCAGGCAAAAACTGTAAAGAAATGGGCTCCTTGCATAAACAACTGAATCAAAATGGGCTTATAAAGTGGGCTGTCCATGACCCCATGGTTGCCAGGTTCATCATGCATTCACAGGTATTAGGGAATCAGGACCAATAAATGAATTTAACTGGGTTATACCATCCTTACCCTCCAAAAACTCAACTCATAATCTTGGTTCTTACAACTTAATTTCATTTTAGTTCTACTAAATTTTTTTTGGTCCCTGGAACAATGCCTTTGATCTCTAAAATAAGGATCAAAATAAATAAGATATCAAATTTCAGGCATCAAAACTGATTTGAAATTTCAAAGACTAAAATTAAATTAGGATTAAATTTCAGGCACTAAAAATGATACTCCTCCGGTCCTTAATATAAGACCCATTTAACTAATTTGATTAGATTAAGGAAGTTAGGTAAGTTAGTTAATTATAAGAAAAGTGACACATGTTTCCTAAAACCCATAATCATCTTCCTTAATACCTCATCTCTCTCTTCTATATGTTTATGGTTGAGGGAGTATCTATAGGGTAATTTAGAGAAAGTTAATAAATATGAGAAATAGGTCTTATATTTGGGACCAAAACCAACTCAAGAATTGGGTCCTATATTAAGGATAAGAGGAGTACTATCTCCAATCCTTAATATAAGAGCTCGTTTGATTTTTATTTTGGTCTTAAATATAAGACCCCAATCCACTTTATCTCTCATATTTTCCATTTTTTTAATATAGTCCTTGTAATAATAATAGTTTTAGCTAATTTACTTAATTAATAAGTATATTTTAGGAAAGACAACATATATTTATCACAAATAACTAATTTATCTAATTTTTTAATCTACTAAAATTAGTCAACTAATTCTTATATTAAGAACCAGAAGTAGTATTAATTTAATTTAATTTCATTTTGTGATCAACGTATTGTAAAATTGTAACTTAGGACCTTTGACTGTCAAAATTAGGAAGGCAATTGTACCCACAAAAAAAGGAAGGTAATTGTCAAATCCCTACACTAAACTTATTGGTTTTTTTAAATTTTTCCATGTTAAAATTTTAAATATAAATTGTAACTTATCACATATCAAATGTTGAAATCTCAATATCAAAATTTGGGATGTAATAAAAGAAATCCCTGAATATAAATATATTGGCTAAATAAACTTTAAAAACGTCACGTGCTAAAATTCGAAACATGGTCATTAACCGCAATTTTGCAAAGTCATGGTGTTGAAATTAACTTCATCCATTGATATCTCTCATTTAATTTCCTTCCCTTTCTTTTTATTTTCCTTCCCCCCCCCCCAAAAAAACATCACATTCAATTAAGAAATCAAATTGCAAAAAAAATTGTTATATTATTATTACCTCTGATCATTAATATATGACCCTATTTGATTTTTATTTTGGTCTTAAATATAAGATCTCAATTCATTTTGTCTCTCATAATTATATATTTTTTCTCAAGATAGTTCTTCTAACAATAGTAGTTCTAGCCAATAAATTTGATTAGCAAGGATATTTTGAGAAAGACAACATATATTTATTACAGATAACTGACTTAACTTCTTTTCTTAATCTCTTGAAATTAGTCAACTAGCTCTTATAATTAAGACCAGAGGTAGTATTTTGTTCATTAGAAATTTCTTGTTATTATTTTTCATCCAAGAGCGTAGAAGGCATTTCATATCTAAAAATTTTCATCTCATTTCGTTATACCAACCATTTATAAATGATGAATAATGTGACTTATTCATACTCATGCAAAATACAAAATCCAAACCAACTCTATTGAAAAAGAGTTTTCTATGTTTTAAACACGAAATCTCAAGTTTAGATTCCTGTGAATGGAGAAAAAAATATTTTAAAAAAATTATCTCTAATTAAACCCAACAATATTCAAATTTAACCAACTTAGATAACTATATAAAAAGACAAAATTGAGGACCTAATTAAGTTTAGAGTTTATAATTGGATTACCCATATTACTCAATGATTAATACCTAGTAAGTCACATGTTAAAGTAGGTCATACACTAATAATATAATCATAATGGATCAGTTAAGCCTTGTAATTCTCAAAACACTTACTTGAAAATCTAAATATTCACACATGCATGCGCCCACCTATAATTAAATTAACAAGGTGCATGTCATCGAGGTTTATTTTAAAAAATGATAAATA